TACCAGTGTGGGGAGGTCCTGGGCAGTGGGCTGGGTGGGGTCCATTCTCCATTTCTGAGCCAGATACACAGTTGCCATCAGATATTGCTTGTGTAGATAGCCGGGAAACTGTAGGGCTCATAGTTATCTTCTGGGGTGAGGTTCATTGCCAGCACTGAGAGGCAAGGGTGAACCAGGGAGAATGAGTCATGCAGAAAGGGAGCACCTGTCACTCATTGTCACCACCACCTCGAGAAGGAGGCTGTGCATGGGGAAGGATACAATTTCCCACCAGCTTTCCTCCTAGTACCTCCGTTTCCCACTAATACGTTTTCATGTGGTTATAAAAGTGATTATATCTGTAAGATGAAATAAACCCCCTCCCCTCATAAAATGATTATGCTTAAAGTTTTGAATTATACAGAGAAATCCTTTGGAAATGTAAACTTGCATTTATTTACCTATTGTGTGGAGGGGCTGGGTGTGCACATGTGGAGAGGTCAGAGGACCACAGGAGTCAGTTCTTTCCCTTCTCCTGTGTGGGTCCCGGACGTCCAACACACAGGCCATCAGACTCTATGGCAAGTGCTTTCTGCACACCAAGCCAGCTCACCTGTCCCCCCCCCCCCACAGGAAAGCCTGTAGAAGAATGTTGAGCTCACCCATGATGCATTCATTCATTCAGCCAGCACCACTGAGCAAGCTCTAGGTCGGTGTATAGAACAGAGACAGGGGATCCCGTCTCAGCTCTCCAGACACCATGCGCTGGGCTGGGGATACATACAGCGGTGGGGAAACGCCTAGCGTGCACAAGGCTTGACTTCAAGTTCCAGTACTGCAGGAAAAGAAGACTAGAACTTTGTGTGGGCAGAGGCATCCTAGAGACAGGGAGCAGTGGGGACCACCAGCACCTCCGAGAGTGTCTTTGTTTTCATTGTAGCAGTGGGGGGCTTGGGAAGTAGTTCAGCTGGTCGTGTTTGTCTAACATAAATGGGCTTGATCCCCAGCACTGTATAAACCGGGTGCGGAGGTGAGTGTCTGCAATCCCAGCGCTCCCGAGGTGGAGGCAGGAGGGCCAGCAGTTCAAGCTCATCTTTGACTTCATAGGGAGTCTGAAGGCAGCCTGTACTACATCGACCTAGCAATAGCTGTCGTTTGGGTCTTTAGGGCTTATTAAACAGCTTCCAAGCAGTGGGATCCATCCTCATGTTAGCAGATAAGAAAATGGACGCTCAGGAAGATGAAGGGGGTCACTGAAGCCCAGCCCTGGAGTCATGCCGCATAAAAGGGAAGGCCTTCTCTCTGTCTTTCAAGTCCTGTTGGGGTGGGGCATCCTCGGGCAGGAGATGAGAACTCTGAAGCCTTCCTACAGACTTCTTGAAAGAGCAGAATCAGGCCACCTCAGTTCAGCTGTGGCCCAAGAGCCACTAGGAGGCAGCAGAGGCCTGGGTTGCAGCATTCCTCGTCCCCAGCTGACTGCCTGCTCCGGTTGGTTGTCCTAGGTCAGTCTCTGGCAGCCCAGAATAGCAAGGGGCTGTAATTCACGTGGCTGGATGCCTCTTCAGGTTTCGAAAGCCCCTCACGTCATGCCTGCCACTTCCTAATCCTGCTCACAGGGCACATTTTCCGTCTTCTTCAGACAGGTTTGGAGTGGGCCAGGCCCTCGTGTTTCCCTGGGGTTGTGTGCTAGATGCTAGCTGGGGCCTGGAACCACAGAGATCAGTGAAAGAAAAGAAAACTCTGGGCTTGCTCTTGGGAGAGATGGACACCCAAATAGCCAAGGTACACAACGTTAAAGTGCAATGAGAAACATTCGAGATGACAGTGTGAAGTTGGAGAAAGAGTGGAGGAATTATGGGCTAGAGGTTGGCTCAGGTTGGGTCTCTGTTTGTGAATGTCCTTGCTGCACTTGATCCCTTATCCCCAAAGCAGAGACTCAATGGGCATTCTCTTTACAATGAGCCAAGGCAGAGAAAGAGGCTCATTCTGGGTGTTGCCGGTAAGGAGCCCCAGGTTGAAGGGCATCAGGTGGGAAGAGTGGGTCAAGCGTTCTGGAGAGTTGGTGTGGCTGAGTTGGCAGAGGGCTGCCCGCGTGACTGAAGCCCTGGCTTTGATTTTCGGCACAACACAAACTGGGCGTGGTGGGGTGGTGCACAGCTGTAATCCCAGCACTCAGGAGGCGAGTTCAAGGCCATCCTCAGCTACAGAGTTAGAGGCTAGCCTTAGCTACACAAGGGCCAGGAAGGTGGGGATGGGGGACGCACTCTCCCTGAAAACTTGAGGGCTGAATTTTGAATCCCCAGCACCTACTTAAATCCTGGCGGGCATGGCGGCTCCCCGTAATCACAGGGCTCAGGGGATGATGATCGGCGCAAGCTGACTGGCCAGAGGAGCCATAGCAGCGAGCTCTGGGGTCAGCTGAGAGACCCCGAGTCAGTATAAAAGGTGGAAAGTCATTGAGAAAGACACCCAGGGTCAACCTCTGACCTCACCACACATTCATTCACACACACATACATGTGCGTGAGCTCCTACACACACACACATACACACACACACACACCAATTAAAATAGAGAAAATAAAAGCTAGAGATCAGGAAAGTGCTCCTCTAAATCCTGTTGGGTATGGGCTGGGACCGCAGAGGAAGGCCTCCTGCAGGAGACAGGAACAACAGGGCGGTGGTGAGGGACACCTGGTGTCAAGGCCAGCCTTGCTTACCTTCTTCTTAACAGACCCACCAGAGCCGCAGTTCCTCACCTGCAGGGGTGTCAGAAGGGTGGATCCTTTCCCCAGTACAGGGACTGAGGCTCTCACACTTTTCCCAGCCACAATCACCCCAGTAAGATTCCATGTCAACCCCCAGTTCCCTATTCTAGCCTCCCCAGAGAAGTCTGAAACAGGCCTGACTAGACGAGGTAACCTCACACTGGTTCTCATTCTTGGCTGGGAACCTGTGTGGTCTGTGAAGCTCTGGGTTTGCCCAGGACTGGCCCAGAAGGGGATGGAGTTCAGGGATGGAGGCGCTGGCGGTGCTGCTGTGTCTCCACCTGCTCCCCGTAGCCCAGCAACCTTCGGGGGTGCCCACTCCTTAGGCATCATGAGCAGGTGTGCCTCAGCACCAGCAGGCTGCCAGTGTCACATGTGTGGGACACCTCTGCTTCGCCAATAGTTAATTTTAGCACTAGGCCACTTTTCTTTGGGCAGCTGGTCCAGGAGGGTGGTGTTAGGTAGCTGCCCTCAAAGTTCATCCCGAGGCAGGACAAGGGCACTGACCGTGGTCTCACATGCTGTGGCCATGCTACATGCAGAGCATTGTATGCACAAATTTTTCCCCTTCTTTCTCTTTCCTATCTGTTGCACGATTAATAAAAACCCAGAGCCAGAAACTGGGGTTCAACCTGAAGGTCAGAAAAGCAAAACAACCAGTCACTGGCTCTTACCTCTACCTCAGACCGAAATGGCGATCCTGCCTCCAGGAATCTCAGGATGAGACTGTGTGTGAGAGCTGTCTCCTCCCATCTTATATTCCTCTCTAGGGCTGGGACTAAAGGCATGCATCACTACCGCCTGCTTTCTATGACAAACTAGTGTGGCTACTGGGATTAAAGGTGTGTGTCACCACTGCCTGGATTGTAAGGCTGAAAATGGGGCTGTTTTACTCTCTGAACTTCAGGCAAGCTTTATTTATTAGA